ATAAATCTTTAAAAAGGGTTGGGGGAGGTGGGAATTGTCTTTGATGTGACTTTGTTAACCTGAACCTCCTGATGGCCTCTATGGCAAATCGATACTTTTGACAAAGTTCCCATTTACTAGTTCACACCCCAGAAATATGCTTGCCACAGCTAACACTGGGCCAGAAAGGAGGCTAGGAATTCCATTCATGTCTCTCATATGGATGGCAGGAGCCCCATCACCAGAGCCATCACTGCTGCCTCCCAGGATGCACACCAGCAGGAAACTGAGTCAGGAGCAGAGCGGGGAATCAAACCCAGACACTTCTGAGGATCTTAACCGTTAGGCCTAACAGCCCCCGGACTCTGAGAAGCTGGGATGATCGCCCCTGGCCTGGGACATGGTAGCCTGTACCCTCCAGTCATTGCACACAGACTGCCCTGTGGGAGGGGGTTTTCTTCCTCCAGAGGCAATTCCTGGAGAGGAACTCAAATGCAAGTCAGCACCCACAGCTGGGGAAGTGGGTGCCTCTGGCCAGCGAAGGAGCAAGTCATGAAGGCAGTGTCCACCTGTTACCTGCACGCACCTATTACCCTTCAAATGACAGCACAGATTTTACCAGTTCCCCCCCTAACCAGCACCCGCTCAAGGTTCATCACTCCCTCTCTTGCACTGCTTCTTTTAAAAAAAAAATATATATATATATTTATTTATTTATTTATTTATTTGCAAGGCAGAGTTACCGGGTGGGGAGGAGGTCTTTCATCCGCTGGTTCACTCCCCAAATGGCCGCAACGGCCAGAGCTGGGCCAATCCAAAGCCAGGAGCCAGGAGCTTCTTCTGGGTTTCCCATGTGGGTGCAGGAGCCCAAGCACTTGGGCCATCTTCCACTGCTTTTCCAGGTGCATTAGCAGGGAGCTGGATCGGAAGTAGAGCAGCCAGGACTCGAACCTTTGCCCATATGGGATGCCGGCACTGCAGCTGGCCCCTTGCACTGCTTCTGTTTGTAGGATGTGCTTGTCACCATCAGGAAATTGCTGTTTCTGTGTCTGTCTCCCCACATCGCCTCCTCAGTAGATGGTGGGGAGAGCCGGAGCCTCTATGCCAGAACTTGGAAGAGTGTCCAGTACACACTGGCTATTCAATCAATGTACACTGCCCTGAATAAAAGGGGACCCGTCCATGAAGGAGGCTGCTAGATGGCTACAGGAGGAGAAGGCTGGACTCTAATACCAGGAATGATAAAGAAGGAGGTGGTGGCATAGAGGATCTGATCTCAGGGTGCCCCCACCCCTCACTTCTAGTGAGGAGCCAGCTAGAGACCCTGCTTGGGGTCCTTGAGTCCCAGCTTAGAACAGAACAAGGCTCTGAGCTTGGAATGTCCAGGGTGGGGCAGCAGCCAGTAGAAGAACGTAATCTGAGATAGTCATGGGGAGGGGGGAGTGGAGGACGGGTGCTGGAGGAAACAGAGGGCTTCTATTTGAGAAGAAATGTAGCAGCTTCCAGCCCTCGCTGTCTCAGCTGCCGGCAGAAAGAAGGGCGCCCCCACTAAATGCCCACATGAAGAAAGCACTCCCAAAGAAGCAAGCAGGTGCAAAAGCACGGGAGCAGGTAAGACTCGCCAGACACAGAGCATGCCCATGCACAGACACGCAAGAAATGAGAGGCACACACAGGAAAAAATGGAGCTATCATAAACCACTAGCACATGTAAGTGAAGTACCTACGAGTTCCAGTCTCTGCTTATCCCTAGTCGGAGATCAACCCTCCCTCATCTTCCAGAAACCTCTAACCAGAACAGAAGTCTGGATTGCAGGTCCCACATTTCCCTCCCGCTTTGTCCCTAGCCAGGAGGTTTCTGTTCCAGTTTCTCTGCAACGCTGAACCAGAGAACGGTGAAAACCTCTTTGCTATCAGCCGGCAGGGGGCAGTGTTCAACAAGCAATAATCAGATCCAGCTCCCAGCTGCTTGCTCAATGTCAGATCACACCCCACGGCCCCACCCACCCACACACACTGACCCTCCCTCTTTTTCTGCTTCTCCCTCTCCCTGCTTCTCCTCAGCTGCAGTTACTGCATCCTCTGCGTAGTTGATTTCATAGCGTGCCTGTTCCCAATGGGCCAGAGAAGACAGCTCCGGAATTTCTCCTCTCAGGTCTCCCAGGCTTCCACTTGCACTCCTGAGCAGCTCTCGGGAAACCCCATGAGGGACTAGATCCCGGGGACACTGCTCCTGCTTAGTGTGCATCCTCACTGGTGCCCAGCGGCTCTGGTGGAAGGGGCGCTGCAGGTCCACCCCCTCCTTTGCCCTGACCTGGTGTCTCGTGCAGTGCACAAACTGTACCGTGGCTCGGGCTGACCCTGCTACTTGAGGTCTCCTTTGATGAGTGCTAAGCACCTTCACAATGATCTTGTTTAATCCTCAGGGCAGCCTGGAGAACTCTCATCATCTTACTGATTTTACAGATGAGGAAGCTGACACCCAGGGAGGAGGTGTGGCTCTCACTGAGGCTCAGGGTGAAGGTGAATAGGGGGTGGGGACCCAAGTCCTCTGGCTGCCAGACATAGGCTTTCATTCTCTCCTCCCAGCACAACATAGCTGCCGCCGCCACCACCACCACCACCTCCCTCCCTGCTGCCCCTTAGTGACTGCTTGCTTCCTTCTCTACCTGCACAGCTCTGGGACTGTGACCCCACTCAGCTTCTTCCTTCTTTCTCAGTCCTCACCCTGTCAGGTTGCAAGAGCTCAGGAAAAAAACATACAAGCAAGAAGCAGAGAGATCCAGGCAGGCATGGTATAAGGAGCTTCCTAGATCGAAGAGGTGAAGAAGGCAGGCTTCGGGGCTGGAGGAGGAAGAGGGGTGGCTGAGACGAGGGAGAGAGGTGCCCCCACACTGTGCCTACACTCAGAAAGGGGCACAGACCAGGCTTCCATTGTGTAGGCACAAAGGGACCATATGCCTGGCAGCCCACGGTGTACGTGTGTGTGTGTGTGTGTGTGTGTGTGTGTGTGCGTGTGCATGTGTAGGCGGGATGAGGGGGCGTGTCTTACAGCCCCTGCCCCAAACCCCTGGAGCCCTGCCTTCTGCTCTGTCACTGGGGGTGGGATTTGCCGAGACAGAGGGCAGAGGGAGCAGTTATGACAGGCTGGCTAGGTGGGGCCGGTGGTACACAGGGATGGAGGCAGGCAGGGGTTGGTGGAAGGGGCCATGGGATACTTGGAAGAGGGCAAGAGGAGTAAGGGCTGGCACGGAAGATTCCTCCTGCCTGGAGCCCCACATTGCCCTCCCCGCTCCCCTGGCCATGAGCTGGGCTTCAGCCAACTGGCCTCTTCCCACAACGCCTCTCCTCCTTCCCCCCTGCCCTGTGGCCCTGCAGCCCTCACTGCCTTCAGCCCGGAGACTTCCATCTCTAGCTCCCTTCCCCCTCCGGTTCCGCACCTCCGGGTCCTGCCCAGCAGAGCAGCGGCAGCCGAGGCCAATTGATTATCTGAAGAAATTCAGAGCTAGCAGTAGAACAGCTGCAGCTGCCCCCTCGCACCACCCCCAGGCCCAGAGGGATCCCTGCCGGGAGGGCTCCCCACACACACCTCCTGCTCTGAGCTGGGGAGAGCACTGTGGTTGCTGGGCACTGAGAGGCACAAAGCACTCAGGATGGCCCCGAGTGGAAGACGGGGGTTCTAGTCCCAGTCCTGCATCATGGGGCGCTCACAGCATGTCTCCGGACAGGAGGTCCCCTGCCTTTGGGAATGGAGGATTTCGGTGGTTTCCCTCCCCTTTGCCAGGCTCTGGACGGGGCACTTTGCATTTAACTCATAGAGAGCAAGGAAAGATGTCACATCATCCCTCAATGGAGGTCCTTCCTAAGTCTAACTCAAATCCTTCTTGCTGCAGATGTTGCTGTTCGCTCACCAAAGACGAAAACCTCTCAGTGCTGGCAGATGCCTGCACACCTCTCACCCACTTTCGCCTTCAGAGGCCCCAGCCCGTGCTGCTGCCCTGCTGCTGAGGTGGGAGTGCCCCCCCAGGGTCTCCAGTCTGCTTGGGTCCCACCTCCTGAGGCAGGTGCACTGTGGCTGGACAGCGCCAGGTGTGTGAATCACAACTTCCCCTGGCCACTGGGAGTGCCTGCTTTTTTTCTCTCTTTGGGATTGGAAGATGGACAGCAGGCTACTCTAAGGCTGCTCTTACCAAGATGGAGCCTCAGTGGGCCCTAGGAGTGCTCTCCAGGCTGCTGGCCCTCTTGGCCACACAGCTCTGAAGCGTCCCCAGCTTACCGGTGTTCCTGGTAGAAGGGAGAGTCGGAGAGCACCACCTGTCAGCTGACTCACTTCAGGAAGGCAGAGGGAGTCGTAAAGGGCAGGAAGAGCAGGGGGCTGAGCTTTAGCTGTGCCCCCAACTAGCTGTGTGACCTTGGGCCACGCCCTCCCCTCTGCGAGCAAGCAAGCGAGCATCAGTTTCATCTATGAATCAAACCCCTTCCAGGGTTCCTCTGATATCCCTTCAGGTCCTTTTTTAAAAATCCCCTTCCCCACTCTCCTATCAGTCCCAGGTCCTCCACTGTGTTGCCCGCAGTACCCTACGGCTGGGGAACACAACACGGGCCCAGCCCTGACACTGCAAGGCCTGCTGACCCAGCGCAGAGACCATAACGGTGAAGCCAGTGTTGTAAGCTTAAGTCGCGGCTTTTGCCAGCAGCATGAAGCCACAGACACGTGTTTAACTTGGGTTCCGCTGGGACACTCCGCTCCGTCTCAGGCTGAAGCACACCACCAGAGAATTCAGAAATTGCCACTGCATGGTGTCAGGCTGGGACATATGGGACTCCAGGTGGGGCTTGTGTGTTCCACTTGCCCCTGCACCTGCACCATGCGGCCTTTCTTTGCTCAGTCTTCATTTATCCAGCATCTTGAGCCTGCAGACCCCTTCCGGGGAGCCGTCAGAGCCTAGGACCCTGAGTGCCTGCCCTTCCACAACCTACAGGCAGCTTCCCCACCCAATCAAAGGAACCACAGCCATATCTGGTGCTAGAACGAGGTCACTTTAATGTCTCTTTTTGTATGAAATTGGAAATGCCACAGGAGGGAATTACGCACAGGACTTGGGGCCTGCTTTTGGGATATGAGGAAGAGGGAGGGCTAGAAAGAGAAAAGAGGCCGGAGTGGGATTGTCTGGGGATGTGCAGAGGGGCGCTAACTCAGAGGACTGGGGTGTCAGGACAGGCAGAGCGGAGGAAGGGACTGGGGTGTGGTGAGCCTAGGAGGTCCACACGCAACTGGAGTTGGAGAAGGAGCAGCAAAAGGAGAAGAACTAGGGAGGTAGCAAGAGAGGCCCTGCCGAACCTGCCAGGAGCCTCCTCGCTCTACCCCAAAGTGCACAGCTCGGCAATAAATAGTAACATTTATAAATAAATAAATAAGTAAATAAATAGATGAATAAATAAATAAATAAATACATAAATAAATATCCTCGTAGCTACGAGTTTGGTGTGAGGGAGGAAAGAGCATAGAAATGGGTGAGTCATGCCTTCTGCACAGGTCCTGAAGCCTTTCTTCAGTTTTAGGCTGGTCTGGGCTGGGGTGAGCAGGTGGGGCTCCATGACTTGTGGGAGGGGCACAGAAAGCCCCCAGGCCAAGAGGGGGTGTCCTTTCCTCTGCCAAAGGCTGCTTAAGGAAGAACACACACACACACATCATCAGCTGACCCTAGGGCCTGGGAAGTGAGCATTCCCAGGGGATGATGCATAGGGCCCCACCCCCTGCATCTGGGTGGGGTGGAACCAGGATAGGTTTTGCACCTTCTCAGGGTGGGCTGAGATGCAGGAAGCAGGGGTGAGGTCCCGCCCGCTCATTGCCTGGCCACCTTGCAGATAGTGTGGGTCTGTAGGATGCAAGTCAGCCCTTAGCCATGAGCTGGATTTTCCTTTCTCTAAGTGGCTCACAGGGAGGGAGGAAGCTGGAAGGAGAAGGGTGGGAGGGGCAGAGGGTGGCTGGATAGCTGAGAGAAGGCAAGGCACTCACTACCATATCGGCTCTGAGGTCTGCACCTGCTAAGCCCCACGAACAGGATGGACAAAAGAGAAACAGAGTTTTCCACAATTCCCGACTGCTCAGAGTCCCCACCCACCCACGAGTCTTCCCACTCCCCGCCCCGCCCCGCTTCCCCGCCCAGCTGGCCAGACTGCGATGTGGGAGGAGGAAGCCCACAGCCCGATGCTGCCCCAGCCTTCCCCTTTTCCAGTGCTGAAGCCCTTGCCCCACCCTGGGCACAGGAAGATGGTGGACGTGAGACAGAGCTGGGGTCTGGGGTCACAGAAAATTGGGAACTGGGGGTAGAAGAGGCAGCAGCTCCTTGGAGAACTAGAGGGGGACTGAGTGTGCCTTGGCCCAGCAAGGGCTCCACGCTGACGGCTCTGGAGAGCCATTCTGCCCTGCTAGGCTCCCACAAGCCCCGCCGGGAGAACAGCCCCCGGGGTGCCCGGCTCAGTGAAACAAAGTCGCGATCACGTCGAGGCTGGGCGCGCCGCCTCTGGGCCTCGGTGCCAGGGTACAGGGGCTGGGGGGGAGGCGGCCGTTCCGAGCGAGCGGTGCGCGCAGTGCGCGGTGAGAAGGGACAGGGCCCGGCAGGAGGCGCGACTCCGGGGAGCGCTCAAACGTCCAGCACGTGGTTCAGGTAGGAGATGTAGCAGATAGCCAGGCGCAGGATCTCGATCTTGGAGAGCTTCTTGTCGGGCGGCAGCGTGGGCAGCAGCTTGCGCAGTTCGGCGAAGGCCAGGTTGAAGGCTTCCACGCGGATGCGCTCCCGCGTGGCGTGCGCCGTGCGGTACTTGGCTGTGGCGCGGCGCCGGCGCCGGCGCTCTTCCCGGCTCAGGTGCTGCAGGTCTTTCCGGCCAGGCTCCCCGGGCTCCGGGCCCCGGGCCTGGCCCCCTCCGGGACCCCCGGGCCCAGCACCCTCAGGGCCCGTCGCGCCCCCACAGTCGCTGAAGCACGACTCGGTCTCCGAGTGCGTGGGAGGCAGGTCCAGCTCCATGGTGTCTGAGTTGAGCATCATGATGGAAGACTCTGGGCTGGTGCGATCGGGATCCCCTCCCCACCCCTCCCTCCGGGGGCTTGAAAGCTGGTTGTGGGAGGGGCAGGAAGGGCCCGGGGTGGTGGGGTCTGCCACTGAGCCACTTCAGGGTTGCATGATCAGGGTTCCAGTCCCGAGCCTGGAAAAGAGACGGGAGAATTTATGGACAGCTCCGCGAGGTGCTGGGGAGGAAGGGGGCTTGAGGTGGGCTGGGAGGGGTATGGAACTGTGAGTGTAAGGAAGGACAGCAGAATTGTGGCACAGGGCTCAGGGCTGGGGAGACGAGCATGTGGACAGCAGTGGGAAGGTAGCTGTTGAGAAGAGAAGAGAAGAGATCCAGAAAAGTAACAGGCAGAAGTGATAAGGACACACCAGGCCAGATAAAACCCAGTGCCAGGGTTGAAGGTTAGAACCAGAAAACATAGGGGAAAGCTTCATGACATTGGACTTGTCAATGATCTTATTGGCTATGACACCCCAAAGACAGTCAACAAAAGGGAAAATAAAGTGGGACAGCATGGAACTTGACTTTGGTACATAAAAGGATACAATCAATAAATAGGGTTAAAAAGAGAAAATATGTGTAAGTCATATATTTGATAAGGAGCTAATATCCAGAATATATAAAGAAGTCTTATAACTCAATAGCAAAAAAAAAAAAAAAATCAAGTAACCTGATTAAAAAGTGGGCGAAGGATTTGAATGGCAATTACTTCAGAGATGATCCGCAAATGGCCAACAAGTCTATGAAAAGACACTTAGCATCACGAATCATTAGAAAGGCAAATCAAAACCACAACAAACTATCACTTCACACCCATCATGATGACTACTAAAATAAAACGAAAAATAAGCAACAGCAAGGATGTCGAGAAACGGGGATCCCCGGGCCCTGGCAGGGAGGTTGTAAAATGATGCAACCCCTATGGGAAACAGTTTGCATGCTCCTCACAATTAAAATCAGAACTACCTGTGATCCAGCAATCCCGCCTCTGGGTACATAACCAAGTAGAGAGACATTTGTCCACCCACGTTCATACATAGTCGCACTATTCACAAGAACCAAACAGTAGGAGCAGCCCAAGTGGCCATTAATGGGGGAACAGATGAACAAATGTGATATACACATACAATGGAATATTATTCAGCCTTAGAAAGGAAGGAAGTCTTGTCACAGGCTACCACGTGGATGGAAGCTTTAGGAGATAATGCTGGAGGTACACTAATCACAAAAGAACAAACACTCTATGATTCCCATTATGTGAGAGCTAATTTATAGAAATAGAAAATAGAATCGAGGTTGCCGAGAGCTAGAGGGAGGAGCTGGACAAGGGAAGCTGCCCAAATGATACAGAATGACACACAGGCAAGATGAAAAAGTTCTGAAGAGCTGTTTCATAACCGTGGGAATACACTTAACACTATTGAGCAGCACAGTTAAAAACGGCCAAAACAGTAAGCCTTGTGTTATGTGTCTTTTGAATAAATAAACAAGTAGGAGGAAAAAGCTGAACAAGACTAGAGCCACAGTGCCGAGAAAGGTTGCCTGTGACTCTGGACCATTCCTAGTCGGCAGAGGGAGGGCAGGGGCAGGGCATGGCGGTGGGGGTGGGGGGGGAGGCAGAGCTGCAGGCTTGGATCTGCCTCCCTCCCCTTTCCGCCCCCCCCACCCTTGCTGCTTGAGGGTGGAGGGTGGGTAAACACGCAGATTGCCCATTGTAGAGTGGACTGGGACATATGGAGCTCAGCACAGCTGCCCCCTAGACCTCCCCAAGACTGGCCACTCAAACAGGGGGAGAGCTCTCTCACCACAAACCCCAGCCCAGGGCCAGCCCTTCCTCAGCTCTGTCCTCAACACCACCAGAACTTGCCATTCCCTGGCCCTTTTGGAAACTCTTCAAGGAAACGAGGGAAAGGGGATCATGATCAGCTTTCTGCCCCAACACTCACATTCTGACATAGCCGGTGGAGGGGGACACAGACAGCTCCTTGGGACCACCTTTACAGGGCTTGGCTAAGGTTCACTTGTCCTGAGAGGACGAAGCAAATCTTTGGCTTGCCCCCCGCCCCCTGGGGGTGGGGTATGGCAGGAACTTGACCTGGGAAAGGTCTTTGCATGGGAGGGCTTGTTGGGGGAAACAGTGGGACCCTCACCATGCACTCAGGCTGACTTAATGGTCAAAAACAGAAGCACTGAGCCTTCTTCATAGTCACCATCTCTCCTTCCTCCCCAGCGCTAGCTCTCCTGCCTGGAAGATGCCCCCACTCCCCCAAGCCTTTCTCCATCCTACCACATAGAAGACAAGTTCACGCCAAGTCCAGTCCATAGTTACTAAGCTGGGATGCAAGGTCATAGACAGCAGATGGTGGGGCAGACAAGTACATACACAGCTGTCACACAAAAGAGAAGGTGATCAGTGCTGAAATATGGAACACACTTCGTTTTCTGGGGTCCAGAGGAGCAAGAGGAGATGGCAATGGTATGGGAAGCCCCAAAGTCAGCATCTCCCAGTGTTTCGTGTCCCCAACACTCTGCCCCCAGGTTTGGTTTGGGACCAGGGGTTCAGGTGTGGGATTCTCAGAACACATCTATCTCAGCCCGATTGTCCCTCTGCCTGGTCTCCATGTCCCTTCACCCCTGATCACTTGGCCATGCCCTCCCTTCCCTCTCTCTGTTCCCTCTGTCCGGCCTCAGCCCATCTCCGCTTGTTCCACTGACCTCCTCCACTTCCATGCCAGCAGCACAGTTTCTATTTACCTATCAAGTCCTCACTCCCAAATCCACTTCTGATAGCAAAGTTCCAGGCTCCAAGGATCAGGCAGCAGCAACTCCAAGCATCCAGAAAATGACTTCCCACCCCCACTTCTCACAGCCCCAACCTGGCTGAGGACAGATAGGCACAGGATCAAAGGAGCAATGTGGAACAGGAGAATCAGAGATGGAGTGAGACACAGCACACAAGAGAGAAACACCGGAGAGAGGTCTCTGGGAGGGGGTTCGAGCCAGAGAAAGGGAGGGTCACCGCCACCCCTCCCCTGCCCACGCAACCCTGTTTACCTAGGAGGACCCTGTCGGGGGGTCCAAGCTGGCAGGACAGGGGGCAGCGCTGACAGCCCCGGTCTCCTCTGGCTTCTCAGGGCTCATCCGTCTGCAAAGTTAGTGACCAGCTTTCTAGAGCTCTCAGGGGCAGCGTTTCATGGCTGTATAGGCTCCAGGGCAGAGGGGAGGGGTACACATGGTGGAGATGTGGGGCCCGGGTGGGAGGAGTGGGCCTGACGAGGCAATGGGACCACTCACCCTCACACACACTCTCACGCACTCATGCACACTCACAGACACATAACACACACCTGAGCTGGCCCAGCCCTGTGTATATATATGGGGATACACACACACACACCCCCAGCTCTTCATTGGCTGGCCAGGCACCCCCCCCTCATCAATATTAAACAGCCAGGCCAGGCAGCCATTGGCAGAGGGATCTGGGAACCCCCCGGGAGCTGGGGGCGGGGGCTGGCCCTGGGGGGGCGGGGAGTGGGGGAGCAGGGACATCTGTTCTCCATGCATATTTCATAAGCAAGAAATGGAGAGCTGGGGAAGGGGTGGGGCTGGGGCGAGAGCCAGGGCAAGACCACAGATGAACCCCTGTCTCCCATACCAGAGGCAGCAGGGTGGAGGCCCCCAGGAAGCCAGGTTTAAGTGCCATTCTGAGTCCCAGCGTAACTTTGCCAGCCCCTTGCCCATGTCTCCTTTTCCCTGGGAAGAAGGCTCTCCAAGGTCCTTGCAAGGAAACCGGGAAAACAGCGAGTGGACAGCAGCAAAACCCAGATGAGGATGTGAGAGTCCTGGTCCTTGCCCTCATCACCCCACCCTCTTATCCCAGCCCCACTCTCCCACCTGCCCAGTCACCAGGAGGAGACTGTGGTCAGGTTCTGGACACAGGCCCCACAAAGAGTTTTCCTAAGCTGCCCAGGCCAACCGGAGTCACTGGGAATTAGGGGCTCTTAGGAAGGAAGAGATGTGGGCTGAAAAGAGGAGTGGAGGGAGTGCTGAGAGGAAGAAGCAAGATTGGAAGGATGCTGGGGAAGGCGCGAAGGGCAGTCAGGCAGGCTTGGAGTGCGCCACAGCATCAAACCAGCAATAAGAAAAGTAGATACAAAGTTATAATGCAAATAAGCATGGATGAAATTCCCATTAATAGCTCTGCCACCTCCAGCGTGCATGTGCGCCGTGGGCATGTGTTCATGCATGTGTGTGTGTGTGTGCACATGTGTGTGTGCTGCAGGGTGGCGGCAGCAGCAGCAAAGGGGGTCACGGGTAGTACAGAGAGGCAGTGGTCTGGATTTCAGGACCTGAGTTTCCTCCCCTACTCAGTGGTGACTGTCATTGTTGAACCCTGATGACTATCTAACATGAACCGCGATGGCCGAGGACCCCAGAGGCAGTGTGCTACGGTGAAAGGGGCTCTGCCAGCTGTGTGAGCTTGGACAAGCAGCAACCTCCTGAGCCTCAACATATCTCTCTGTAAAATGGGATTCCCGAAGGCTGCCCCTGCTTCTTAGGTTGCCCTGGAAATGAGGGAGATAATGCACCTAACGGCCTAGAACCTTAGCAGGAGCGCAGCTTGCCTTCAGGTTGTTGGAAGCATTTGCCATTTCCCTGTTGCCGATCAACCATTTTTGGGCTTTCTCCAGAGGCATTCCCTAAGGAGTCCCATAATTCCTCCCCAAGCTCCCCCACCTCTTTCCACCCCCAGGTCTGGGAGGTGCCAACTCCCACCTGGGCAGGCCCAGACAGGTGCCCAGGCGCCAGCAGATGGGCTGAGCTGGAGGGGAAAGGAGGCTTGAGGAGGGGGGTTGGGGGGGGGACAGGGGATCAGGTGGCATCTCAGTTCTTGCATCATCATTGCCATGGCGCTGATTAAAAACCAATCTCTACCTAATGAGCCCCCAGCAACAACAGTCCTACCTCCCCCATCCTTCTGCCCTCCACCCCATCCAAGAAATTGGGAGACAGAGGGACTCGGAAGAGAGTGCCATGAGAGAGGAGAAATGCAGAAAGAATAGGAGAGAGACAGGGGAAGCAGAAGGAAGAGCAGAGAGGCAGGGGGAGAGACAGACCCAGAGAAAGAGAAAGAACCTGGGAAACCCGAGTCATTGGGTCACAGACACAGGGGAGCCAGGGAGGAATGGGAAGACGCAGTCACGAAAGACAGAGACGCAGGGAGAAAGAGAAAACAACAACAAGAAGCAGAGGGTGGGAGCAGAACTGCTGCATTTTGCCAAAGCTTTGTGGAAGACTCAGAGATGCAAGATACGGGCAAGACAGAGCTGTGGGGAGAGACTTAAAGAGAAGAGGAGGACTGTTGGGGAGACACAGACCTGGGCGGATACCGACATGGAGAAAATACAGCTACCCAGGGATGGAGTAGTCCCAAGGGAGGCCCAAGACAGGCGAAGACTAGAGACGGTGGGGGGGGGGGGTAGGCAGACAGCACATGGCAGTGAGGAAAACAGAAAGTGCCAGAGACAAAGAGACAAGGTGGGGAGACTTAGTGGACAGAACGAGGAGGTGAAGGACTCCTACTGAGATGGGTTGGGGGACAGATCCCAAAGGGCAAGCATTGAGGAACACAGAAGCAGACCCCAGAAAGACCCTCAAAGCAGAAAGGAACCATGGGGCGGGGTGGGAGCACAGAGGTAGATGGGAGCCAAGCCCACCTCCCTCACTGTGGGCTTTTAATCAGACGCTCTAGCCCCACAACTTGCAGCCCTAAAGCAGCCAGGCTGAGCTGTCCCCAACGCAAGCTGAGGTTTGATGGGAGAGGAGAGTGAGCGTGCTCCGGGCACTACTTCCTCCTCCTTTGCACCTGTCAACCCCAGATCCAAGACTTGAAGGGGCCCACTCCAAGCCTTCACTTGGGGATTTGGTTTTGCTGTTTTGAGGAACAACAAGAAAGGATATGTGTTTGGCAAGTACTACTGCATCTACTGAACCTGGGGTTAGTTAGGCCTGGGTCCCAGCATAGGTGACCCTGGACAAGTCACTTAGACTGTCTTATTTCATCATCTGTGAAGTGGGGATGATGCTGTCTTCTTCACCAGGCTTTGGAATCCCTGGTGAAAGGTGGCTTGTGGCCGTACTGGGTAAACCCAAGTGCCCTTCCAAACCTCCCACCAGTGCCATGACGAAGGTGGGAAGAAGCTTCCCGCACACCTGTATCTGAGGCACTATGGTTGAGGGCGGCTGGGGGAGCTCCAAGGCCAGCTCAGGTTGCTGCCGGCTCAGGAGCCCCAGGCTCCTGGTAGGGAGGGAGGAACACCCAGGGAGGTGTGCATGGAGATCTTTGCTGTACTGAGGAAGGGGGAGCAGGGTCTGGGGACAGGGCAGGCAAGTGTGGCTTTACAATTGATGGTGACATTTTATAGATGTTCACTTTTTCCAACTGTGATTCACAAATGTCTCTCCAGCTCCAGACAGTCCTCGAGGTAGGCTGGTGGGGGAGGGAGGTTGGTGGGCAGGGAAGACACAGGGGCTTGGGCCTAGTCCTTGAGAGGGGGGGAGGGCCTGGAGAAGCCGGGGAAGCAGTGGGTTTGGCATGAGAGGGGGTGACATATGTGGGGAGCCCTGGGGACCCAACCAGGCAAGCGGCTGGCAGGGAGAGCAGACGGAGTTAACCCTTGCTGTGCCGCACTGCTTGACCCTGGCTGGGAGTGGCCCGGGGTTGGAGGCTGATTTTGTCTGGCCAGCCGGCCCTGCCTGGGGTCCCAGGAGCCAGGCAGCAGGAGGAAGCTGGGCAGAGGCTGTGGCGTTTGTGGGCAGTGGCTGAGCGTCTTACAGCCTCTGCTTCCATGGGTCTCTCCCCTTGTCTGTCAGTCCGTCTTTTCTCTGCTTCCACCTCTCTGTGCCTCAAGAAGGTGACAGCGGGTCTCCACTCTGGCTAACGACACAATCTGTCACTCTCTCTGCTGCCAGCCCGGCGGGAAGCCCCCTTCTCCGCACCAGCCCCCGAGCCCTCTGGCCCTGGCCCCCTAGGCCTGATCGCCTTTGTCTCCTCGCCCCTTTCTTCTTCCCTCTCCACTCACCTCTCCTCAGCTCGGAGCCCATCTCCAATCTCATTAGGCCTCCAACCACTGCACCGCCCCCGCCCCCAGCCTCTTCTCCTCCCTCCCCCATCCATCTGTCTTCCCCGAAGCTCTCCTCTTTGTGTCCACCCATCTGTCACTACCAGCTCTGGGCCTACTCCCCTCCTGGCCACGCCCGCCTGGCCTTTCTCCCCTCGGGCTCAGCCTTCCCCTCCCTTCCCTCCTTCAGCCCTGCTAGGAATCCCTCCTTCCTGGTGTCCTCTCACTACCTTCTCTTCCCTGCATCCCCCAGTTTCTCTGACTTCTCAGTTGTGAGCTGGGGGAGTTGGGGACCCTGGGGTCCGAGCCCACAGGCCCCCGGGGCTGGCAATACTAGCTCACATTTGCATCATCTCAGACCAATGGCTGCTCCTCATGCCTCCTGAGAGGACCCCTGCGCCGGCTCCAATTTCCCTCCCTGTCGGGGACGGGGGCCATAGCTGCCATCCTCCACAACAGGAGCGTGGGAGTTCCTCTGCCTTCCCGGTTCAGGAAGGAGGAAAAATCCACCCTGAGGTCCGATCAGACCCCAACTTTCCAAGGGTCTCGTCTCTGCTGGCCCAAACTTCAGTAACTCCTGCCAGAGTGCGTTCAAGGCCAAGATGCTGAAGGTGGGACAGGATCTTCCACAGGATGCTACACCACAATTTCCCCAAATCCTGCTGCCCCTGGGTGAGAGGACAATGGCCCCTCTCAGGCCTCTCTTCCTAGAACTGATTCTTGGTCTACCTCTGAGTTCATGAATCCACCAGTCCTTTTCAAATCACACCTGCCCTGAAGGGTCTTAGACAAGAGCGAGAAGAGGGAGGAGGCTACAACTCCAGCTCTCCACCTTCAGAGACGAATTGACAGACAGCAGTGCCTGTCTGAGCCTCAAGGCCAGTGTTACAGATCAGGACCCTGGGGCTCAGAGAGAAAGCAAGCCCTTTCCAAGGTCACCCAGCATTAGCGAACTCCCCCTTACTGTCCCCACCTGCCCAAAGCAAACCCTCCCCCTGGTGACATTTGGGCAGAACCCACTTCAGGCGCCGATTTTGCATGGTGCACACTCGGCCTCACCAGGTCATTGATCTCGTGTCATGTCGCATCCTGCCATCTAGACCCTGGACCCCGAGTCTCTAAGGGAAGGCATCTATTGCTTATTCTTCCATGACGCTGGGACAGAAAGCTTGCTCAGGGCCTTACTCAACAACCGTTCGCTACTGCCGTGGCTGCCTATGCAGATGTCAGGCAGGTTCTAGCCCCAGCCCAGTCTCTTTTACTTACCTTAGGTAAGCCACATCAGTCCTCTAGGCTTCCGTGTCTCCCATCTATCAGATGAGTTAGATTTACACATAGGATTTCTAAGGTCTTCATGTTCCCTCGAAGAAAAGAGGTCCTACTGAATAAGATGGGATCCTGGCACAGAATGGCAGATGCCAGATGAAAAGCATCTCCAGGGAGTGCCTTTGTGAGCAGTGACCCAGAGGTGGGAAAGAGAAAAGAGCAAACCCCTTTACTCCAATAAGCTAAGGGACAGACAGACTCCAGCCTGTAGGAAAGGCTTCAGCGTTGAGTCTTAAGGGACGAAGCGCCACAGTAGGCGGAGACAGGCTGGGTCCTGGGAACAGGGGTGGTCAGTTACCCAACTCTCTGCATGGGTTGGAAGAGAGGGTGCAGTGTCCTCTAGCAGCTTGAAGCAGGGAAAGAAGGAAGCTCTCAGAAGGCACAGAAGTGAGCAGTCTCGATAAGAGGGGGAGGGGGAGGGGAGGGGATCCAGGAGTCTGTGGCTCTGAGATGCTGCCAGCCCACTCAACACACGGTCTTCAGGGCACAGGAGATACCTGGTGAGGAGCCAGAGCATGGTCCCCTGGGGTGGGGGAGCTGCTTGGGAGTCCCAGTGGGGTCCCCTGGGGGGCTGTGCTCCTTCCACAAAGCAGGCTTTTCCAAGGGCCACGGAAGCAGCCCAGTTTCTCTGGGGAGGGGGAGAAGGAATGGGGGCATGGGAGGGCAGACAGTCTTCTTGTGTGTAAGAGTCCTCCCAAGGCATAGGAGGCTGCAGTATCCAAGTAAGTCCTAACTCCTGCGCTTCTCTTTCTTCCACAGCCCCTGATCCCTCGATTGTGCTCAAGCCTCTGCTCCCCAGTTCAGCCCCCTCACTGGGCGCCAGCCACTTCCCTGCTTCCCGAAGCTGCCAGCAGGATGAGGGAGTTTACTGCTCTGTCCGCTGGGAGACCTGTTGGCCGAGGGAGGCGCGGAGCCGGCCCAGGCGATGGTGGCAGCTGTGCTCAGCTCCCCGCCAGCACAGTGCAGCTTCTCGGGCTCCAACTGGGAGGGCGGGCTGGGGGGAGCAGCCGGGTGTTATTTCCCCATCTCAGAACCCCAAACACGTACCCTTGAGGGGATCTGCAGAGAAAAATCTCCCCTCAGCAGGGCTAGGTCAGGTCAGTTGCCCAGGTAGAGCTAAGAGGAAGGCAGGGGCCTGTGGGGATGGCCAGTCCTTCGTGGGGCTGAGGTTTGCAGGCCCGCGGCAGCGCCAGCCACTTGGCCGGCAACGCGGGGAAGGCTGGCTTCAGGCTTCCACTGCTGCTGCTGCTTCCCCCTCAGCTGACTCAGCCGCTGCCCACGATCTTTCAGCAGCTCCCCCCCAGTGCAGAGTTCTGCCTCCAAGAGGACCCCGGGAACCAGAGCTTCTCCACGGAGCCAAGTTCTTTCTGAAACAGTCCCAGACCACTCTTGATGTGGTCTACCAGAAGCCCACCACCAACATAAAGCCCACACTCCTGAGCAGGCCACCCAGGAGCCTCTGTGGCCTGGCTCCAGCCTCGCCGCCTGGCTGCTCGTGGCTCGGCCACACCAGGTAACTTGCCTTTTCAAATCACACAGCACTTGTACCTTGTCTTCATTCTGTGCTTCCACACTTGGTGAATGTCTTAAATCTCAACTCCAACACCACCCCCACTGTCTTAGATCCCTCTGTGCTACCAGAGTGCCCCGGATGAGCCACAGTGACTCCATCTATTGCACTGGACTGCACCCGGCTTGAGCGTATCTGGCCCTTCTCTCGCCCTGACGTGAGCTGCTCAGGGTGAAGTGGTGTCTTGGTGGCATTGAAACGCCATCCTTTCCAAGAGAAGGCATGTGCCAACGCTGGTCTTACAAGAGGGAGCCAGGGCTCTGCCAGGAGCTCTCCTTTCAGGACTGTGTCCGGCCCAGCCTTCCTCTTGGGTCCTCTGGAGACCAAGAAGCTGTCCGGGCTCACTGAATGAGGTTGTCTGGGCAGAGGGATGAGTCACAGCACAAGTCAGATGGGATAACCTATTTTAATGAAACCCCCTATTTATATATTTACAAAAAAAAAAAAAAAGAAAAAGAAAAAGAAAACAACAAAAATAGAAATTACAGCTTAATAAAAAGTACAACTGAGCAGTGTGTGCTGGAGGCGGGAATCTTCCCAGCAGCACACCCACCCTGAAGTGCCAGGTGAGGACCTGCAGAGGGGGGGACGGGAAGGAGCACGCTCAGTCCGGACGCCCCCGCCCCCAGTGTTCCTTCTCAGGGCTTCGAGGGGAGGGGTGGGGAGCAGAGGGAGGTCCGAGGCAGGGTGGAAAGAGAAGAGGGATCCTGAAGGGTGGCAAATGAGGGTGGGAGACCAGGAGTTCAACAGCAGCAAGAAGCTCCTGTTTGTAATTCCAGAATCTGGCAGGCGTAGGAGAGGAGGAAAGGACGGGGAAGGGGTTGGGGAAATGGTAGGGAATAGAGGCGACTTGTTCCTCTCTGTCTCTTTTGGACAGTTCCACTCCCTTCTGTTAATCCCAGTCTGAGGCAGACTCAGAGAGCTTCCAGTGACAAACTAGTGGTTTGTGTCCCAGTGGGACTGATGATCTTGGAAGTGCAGAGCTGGCGGGACACGCTGGGGTCCTCCTTAGTAAGACACAGATCCTGGCTCGCGGGGAGCAATGAAGAGGATGTCGGCCTTGGCATTGACGCAGTAGGTGACGATGAGCGAGAAGGCGAGGATGCCGAAGCCTACCATCAGGGTGAGGAACTGCAGGGTACGGGGGAGGAGAGGAGGATTCTTGGGGACGTGGCCGCAGTGGGCCACTGTTTGGGGCTGGCAGATATGGGGATCTGGGCTTCAAGCACCAAGTAGGGGAAAGTCACAGGCAACTTAAATCTCCCCATTGGAAAATGCCATGTCTCTGTCCTCGCATCTACCTTGTATTAGATTTTTTTTTTTTTTTTTTTTTTTTTTTTGACAGGCAGAGTGGACAGTGAGAGAGAGAGACAGAGAGAGAAAGGTCTTCCTTTTGCCGTTGGTTCACCCTCCAATGGCCGCTGCTGCAGCCGGGCGCACCGCGCTGATCCGATGGCAGGAGCCAGGATCCAGGATCCAGGTGCTTTTCCTGGTCTCCCATGGGGTGCAGGGCCCAAGCACCTGGGCCATCCTCCACTGCACTCCCTGGCCATAGCAGAGAGCTGGCCTGGAAGAGGGGCAACCGGGACAGAATCCGGCGCCCCGACCGGGACTAGAACCCGGTGTGCCGGCGCCGCAAGGTGGAGGATTAGCCTATTGAGCCACGGCGCCGGCCACCTTGTATTAGATTTTAAGCATCTTGAAAGTAGGACCCATGGCTTTGACCCTCTCCTGGCACTTACAGCACTGACTGACTTATGGCAGGGGCACAGTCATACTGGACTGGCTCATCCCAGCTGGGCCAGATGGGAATGGAGCTGTGGAAGAACTTCCCGGATCCACAGGGGCTCTCCAGAATGAACACAGACTCCAGCCGTCGGTGAGAAAGCCTTCCCCTGGGACACACTGGCTGACCAGGGACAGATTTGCCGCAGGTTTTTAACGCAAATCTGAGGCGAATGGACGTGGGCAGGAGCTAAGAGATGTAAAAAGGAGTGACAGAGATTTCTGCCACCTGCCTCCCCCAACCCCTCTCACCTCGAGCTCTTTGCTGGCGATGAGAAATATCCGGGCACGGATGTCCTTCCAGCGGCTCTCAGTCCATGTGGAGTATTCGGTGGAGCTCCACTGACTCAGTTCGAAGGCAGGGGACAAGGCCCTGGACAGCCGTGCCGTGGAACGCACACAGCGGGGCAGCCGGTCCGTCTTGTTGGAATTCAAGGGGCCCTGAACCCATGAGTACTCATAGAGCTGCAGAGGAGGAGAGGCCACACTGTGGGCTGAGGTGATCCTCTCACTCGGCCTCTCACCTCAGACCCACACCATGCTCCAACCAACCACGCCCACTGGCTGTCATCGTCCCACCCTTTAGACTCTGTTTCCACCCAGGCTACTACCTCTTCAACGCTCATGTTCCAAAGGCTGCATCCCCGACCTGTCCAGCCCACTCCCCAGGCCCACCTAGGCCCAGCAGATATGCCAGCCGTCCGCAGGGAAAGGGACCTGGGGCATCTCCGACACCCACCACCACTCACATCCTTGTTTTCACTCGGGACTTTACTTGGGTCTTGGCACTGCTCTCGGGTGAGGTTCATCACCGTGCCGGTCAAATTTGCCAAGGCATACTGCACCACGTAGGTGGTGTTGGTGGGGCTGGAGACGGCGATGTAATGCTGAAGAGGGCTGTCGCCTGATTGCAGACCCAGGGAAGGGGACGATGGTTGGTGGGAGGTGGGGCAAGGGCAGGCAGAAACAAGGAAAGTCCAAAATTGGCAGGAGCCAGAAGAGGGAAGGTTAAGTGAAAACAACCCAACAAACACAGGGAGAAAGAAAAGTAAAATGGGGAAGGGGGAACGGGGGCAAAAAAAAAAAAAACAAAAAACAAAAAAACAAAAAAACAAAACAACCAGTAAAGGTTAAACAGAGGTGATGACCTTTCCTCAGCTAAGGGTCCCGTCTGCACACCACACGCTTACCCAAGTAGGACCGGAGGTCGTGCCTGAGGATAGACTGGAACCAGGAGTTGTTGGCTCTGATCAGAAACCCATAGAGCAGGCGGGTGACCTAGGATTGGAACAGCGACAAGAGAAAACCCTGGGACTTGGAGCGGGCCTAGGGAAGGAATTCCAAGCGGAGATCCAGTCATGGGGCAGGAAGCGGGCTGGCCAGGAGGACTGGAGCTGGGGGATGGAGGTGAGCCGTGAGGGTGTACACGGCTCCCATCCACGAGCTCTCTGGGGCACCAGGTGCACCAAGCGTTAAGGTTTGGGAAACGAGACAAGGGCCCTAAAGGACGGGGGCAATCTGTGCAAACTGAGGCGGAGAAGGGGCTGGGACCCATGTGCTCCTACCGTTTGGGGATCAGCCTGGACTGTGTGTGTGAAGTTGGTTCCTCCTGCAAGCTCGTACAGTGCGCGTCCCAGCACCGTGGCCACATTCGCCAGGGCCTGCGGTAGGTGAGGAGTGGGGCTGAGTGACCGTCTCTTCCATCCTCAAGCACTGACCTCCTCGGCACCTTCACCGCGTTCCCTGTGCTCCCACCCAGCCGGGGTCAGTGCTACCTTGGCAGTGTCTGTCACTAAGTTCAGGTCCTCTTCAGGGCTCAGCCACTCTGGATAGACCACATTAATGTTCTCAGCGGTGTCATAAATGCTCTCGTAGTATCTGCCAGGAAAGTCGGCATGAGCCTTGGCTACATTGAGCCAACGCTCCGCCCCTTTGCTACTCAAATGGCTCTGATGCAGGAACGTAGCACCTTACTTTTCATCATCCAGACAGGGGAAGAGAGAAAATCAGGACCCCACATTAAAGGAAATACAGAGAATGGCAGCAGTAAGGGTTGGGGGTCACTAGGGAAGCACACAGACTTTCCTAGCAGACAAGGTCAAGAAGGTAAATGGGCCGAGGTCTTTCAACACAGGATGATCTGGGCTGGCGATGCACGAGACCGGTCAACCTGATTTTCAGAGAACTCTGACATGCATCAGGACTACCGTACGACTGTGTGCTTCAACGTTTATATTGAGGGTAGCTGACAGTGGGGGAAGGGAGTGGGGTCAGGCAGGTGGTAGGATCAGGTCTGCTCACAGATATATAAGAATATACCAAGGCCAGTGCTATGGCGTAGCAGGTAAAGCCATCGCCTGCAGTGCTGACATCCCATATGGATGCCAGTTCGAGTCCCAGCTGCTCCACTTCCTATCCAGCTCTCTGCTATGGCCTGGAAAAACAACTAGATAGCCCAAGTCCTTGGGCCCCTGCACTTCCTTGGGAGACCCAGAAGAAGCTCCTGGCTCCTGGCTTCAGATTGGCACAGCTCTGGCCACTGTGGCCAATTGTGGAATGAACTAGCAGATGGAAGACCTCTCTCTCTGCCTCTCCTTTCTATCTATGTAACTCTTTCAAATAAATAACTAAATCTTAAAAAAAAAAAAAAAAGAACAAACCAGGAACCAACGCTGTGGCATAGTGGGATAAGCCATTGTCTACAGCGCCAGCATCCCACATGGGTGCTGGCTTGAGTCCCAGCTGCTCTACTTCTGATCCAGCTCCCTGCTAATGCACCTGGGAAAGCAGTGGAAGATGGCCCAAGTGCTTGGGTCCTTGCACCCGTGTAGGAGATTTGGAAGAAGCTACTGGCTCCTGGCTTTGGTCTGGCCCAGCCTCAGCTGTTGTAGCCATTTGGGGAATGAGCCAGTGGATGAAGACCTCTCTTTATCTCTCTCTGTCTTTCCCTCTCTCAACTCTATCAAAATAAATAAAGTTTTTAAAAAAATTTTAAAAAAGGAATATACCAGATGGAGTCACCATCACAATCCTTGGGGGGCCCTAAGGAGGTAGGTCTTAAAAGAGGAGCTAAAAGAAAAGAACTCCCAGCCTCGACTGTCAGAGGACCCCTGCCCCTCAGTCAGCTCAGCCATAGGATCAAGTCCAAAGTGTGTTCAAACAAAATTATCCCTCATCCCAAAGTGGTGCAGAAGAGACCTGACCCTAACTGCTGCAACCCTCACTCCCCTGAATGAATGAAAATGTGTTACTTCGCTGGGGTTGGAGAACTGAAGCTTAAGCATTTTTGCTTAGACACTCATTTGGCCCCAAGGAGGCTGGGGAACTCAGCAATCCAGCCTGAGTAGGAAGTGCCCTCCTGTCCCAGGACTCAAGGGTACCATGGAGCAGGAAAGCGAGGACTAACAGGGCCTCACTTCTTGTCTCTGGAGCACCCTCCCCCCCCTTAGGGTGCATTTCCATCCTTGTGCACCTACCACACGGCAAGAACAGGTGCATTAACAGTGTCTGTGGCACCCTAGGCAGGGCCACGGACAGGGACTGCTCTCTTTCCTCCAGCCAAAGGAACCCCAGCTTGCTTCCCCGGGCTCTTGTTTGAGATGATGCCCTCTGCTGGCAGCCCTGGGGAACTCAAGTCCCAGGAGAGCTTGAGAGAAGCAGAGCCAAGGCTGAGGATGGTGTTCTGAATCTAAGGAGGCGGCCAGGTCTGGCGTGAACAGGCCCCAGAGCCAAGAACACAGACTTACTAGAAGGTTTGGAGGGGGTTGGTGTGGGGAGAGGAGAGAGTGTGAGCTTTCTCATAGTCTGCACAATACACTCTCTCTCAGAGAATGAGGGTGCAGAGCCTGACTCTTACTTGTTGTGGAAGGAACCAGAGTGGTCGGCCAGAACAACACCAGAGATGTTTCGAGCTCGAAGAAATCGCTGCAGAGAAGATGGTGGGAGGGCCTGGGACTCACTCAGCCTCCTGAGGACAACATCGGGGACATCAGCACCACTCCTCTCCAGTGTGGCCAGGAGTTCCTCCACCTGGGGAGAGAGGGCAGATTAATGCATGGGAGGCTGGGGACGGGAGGCCAGCTTGGGGAGCTACCCTACGCTCTCCCAGATCTATATTCCCCAAGCCATTTGGGAACAGAGCGCTCTGAAGTTCCTGTAGCTCTCACCATTCTTTTCAGAGCTACAAAATCAGGGCACAAAGTGGAGGCCTGTGTTTTTTTCACATTTATAGGTAAATCCCACTGTCCTCGGGCCACTGCCTTCCTCTCAGTGGCTGCTTCACTGATCACCTGCTGTACAGAACTGCAGGGAGCAAATAGTAAGGCAAAATTGTAAGCTGGACGCCAAACGGGTAACTGATTTTCTGAGTACTACAGGAGTCCAGAGCAGGGGCGACATGGAAGGCAAGAGTGGCAGGAAGAGGACTTCATGGTAGAAAGCAGGCTTAGAGCTGGACCTGGAAGGGAGGAAGGGTCTTGAACAAGCACTGAGGAAGTAGAAGACGACTGGGGTAGGGCATCTGACAGAGCCAGGACTGCACTTCTGGCAGGGGAGCCTTGACAACTGGATCTATGAGGCAGCAAGGAGAGAAAGGACACTAGTCACCACCTGTCCTTCCTGGGCAATGGCAGTCTGCTATGCACCAAGTGATCAGAGAACTACCCATCCAGAAAACCAACAGGAAGTCGCTCGGCTCAGGATTCTTCCCAGCAAGAAACAATGGCTGTGGTGTTCCTCCTTCACCCAACACCTAACCTGATCCCGTCTCACAGGCCCTGGGGGTTGGTGAGGACAGGGCAGGGGTTGGGGATGGGGCCCGTATATCGAGCTGCTGAAGCAGGAAATGAAGAGATGCTCTGGTTACCTCGGTCCTTACAGACTCATTTTTCTGAGACATGGGATCCGTGTGCATCCAAAGCTCTAGCGAGGTTCTCAAGGCCACCTTGGGGAGAAGATGAAGAAGCAGCAATCAGTCTCCTGTTCTGGCCCTTGTCTGGGGGAAGGCAGTCAAGGGAGAGGCGGTGGTACCAGAAGTGAGCACAACAGGACCACAGAGGGGCAAGCTGTGAGTAGGAAGGGGAGGGGAGAGAGACACGTGCTGCACACCTGTCCCAGCTCCACGAACGAGGCGATGTTCTCCAACGGCACAGGAAACTTGCCTTTCTCCATGTCGTACACCATTCTCGAGCTGCCAATGTAGTCAAAAGTTTCCTGAGGCGTGGGCATGGGTGAGAAAGGAAACAGACATTCCAGATGGTCAGAGAAGCCCCAAGAAAGGCCAGGGCATCAAAGCAGCAGGCAGGAAGGCTACTGTCTCGGGTCCTCTCAACTGTTAAGTCAGCTTCCAGGCACATGACTTCCCCTCCACCCACCACCCCCTGGCCTGTGACCACTCCTCACATGTATGCATCACAGGACTTCTTGTGCCCAGAAATGGGGAAAATGTACTTCGTAAATGCCCAAGGCAACCCACAGCTGCTTTGTGCCTGCTTCTCAACTCTCGCCCTCCTCCACCCACTCAGCCATGGCTGCTATGACCTTATTCTGAGGCCAGGCTGTGTGCCAGTGGGTTCCTGGGTGGAGGGAGCAGGAAAGGGATCCAGAGAATGAAAGTGAAAGGATGCCTCAAATAGATCTTTTCTCAGTAGGGAATCTAGGACGGGGTTACATTAACTCAGGGCGTAGCAGGTTTAAAAAAAAAAAAAAAAAAGAGGAACGCAAAGAGGACACACATGAGGGTGTATACAAAAGACAAAAGCTCTGTTCTGATCCACAACTTAGGTCCAGCGCTGAGGTCCTCCCCACACCCTCTCCTTCCCTGCCACCCCACCTCAAACAGCCCTACCCCTTGGAAGAAGGCAAACATGACGTTGCGGGGCAGGGTGTTCACATCCGGTGCCTTCTGCAAAGCTTCAGCTGCAGCCAGCTGGGTGACGAAGGAGGCAACAGCACTTTCCGCGCCCGGGGCCACGTTCCAGAAAAAGGAGCGACTGTCCAGCTGGGTACAACAGAAGAAAGGCAGAGGGAGTGCCCTTTAAAACCAGAAATTAGGTCCAGGCCTAAACGTTCCCCACAGTTTCAGCAGAGAGGACACACGTATCCTGGGGTGATGAGCACAGCCTAGGAGTCCCACAGCCTAGATCCTTCTCCATTTGAGACCCCCCCTGATGCCTGATGCAGCAACTCTGAAATCCGATATTCCCAAGAGCCAGGCCAGGTCTTTCTGTGCTAATCCTGCCCATCCCGATCAGGGGCCAACACTCACCCGGGTGGCAGCAATTACAACCCTGTCATCAGGCTCCAATGTTCCCGATGTATTTATAGGCTTCAGCATGCTCCATACGTTGTAGTCAGACAGGGGGTCACAGACGATTTCTGCATGGACACAGTGGGCCATCAACAGGACTAGGGGGAAGGGTAGCTGTACAGAAAGCCTCTGAGCCTCCTCTGACCGTGGCCCCTGACTCTGCATCACTTTCTCTACCTCCAGCTCTTCCAGGTTGGTTTCGCTGCCACCACCCACGTCAGCTACACGCTGTTGAAGCTGTCCAGAAGTGTTTCTACTTCTACCCAGCACTCTCTGCCTGCGCCCTCTCCTTCCCTACCAAGACCTCCTTTGGCCAGCTTCTCCTCCCCTACCCCGGTACACCCAGCATGGCCGGGATCTGCCCTACCTGGGTTGATGCTGAAGGAGCTCTGGATGGAGCTGCGCCGCATGCAGGTGGCAGTGCTGACGACAGCATGCATGTGTGAGAAGAGCTGCATGGCACACAGCGGGAAGGTGGGTGCTGAGCCGTTCTGACTCAGGTTGTGATCGTGGTAGCACTGGAAGGGGGAGATGGACCCCACTGAGACAGCTAGCTGTGGAGCCCTCCCTTACTTCCCAGAAAGAGGAGGGCCCAGCTCCATCCTTAAGCCACTCCCATTTGGGAGACATCAGTCCCTGAGCTATAGTTGTCCTGGTACAACCACAGGATCTACAAGGTCAAAGAGAAAAACTCATCAACAGGTGCAAGAGGACACAGACGCAATGGCTTGGCTTGGGCAGATGAAATTAACCCACCCCAAATGCCTGGTCTAATGTGGATCATCAGCCACTGCTCTTAATGTGACTTGATAAAAGAAACATTGAACTAGAGGTCAAAACTAAGATCCAAGATCGCTTAGACATCAACTCACCATGAAACTTTGAACATATCTCTTAACTGCTCTTTGTGTCAAGAACGAAGACACTAGACTAGAACTGGTCCATATCAGAGCTAAAAAGAACCTGAGAAATTCCCAAATTGAATGTCTCAATTCCTAGTCCAATGATCTTTTTACCTTATTCTTAACCAGTGCCGAATACCTTGCTTCAGATTATTCTTTCCTTTATTATTTTCTTCCAGTCTAAAAACCTTTAATGCTATGGTATCAGGCAGGAGAGAAACAGGAGAGGGGAAAACGAGAAAAAAATACTTCTTGGTTCTTTTTGTAGTGCATCTTTCATAGGTTGCATTAGAATGAGCAGTAGGATAGCCTATAAATGACGCTCTTTCTAGCCAGAACTGGCAAGAGCTGGCAAAATCCTTACCTGTTTGATGACCTTGGTTTCATTTTCATCTTCAAGAAGAAATATAGGGAAACTGAAGTCTTCATAAGCCAAGCCATTGCCCTCGGGGTTCCATGGCACACCTCTGCAGTGAGCAAACTCTGACCCGTAAGAGCTGGAATAAACACCTGATTGGGGGGGACGGGGGGGACAGGGTGAGGGACAAATGGGTCATTGATGCACCAAGCTCTTAGGGACCCAGTGAA